GCCGCGGCGGGCCGGGCGCTGACTGGATTTTGTCACCGTCCGCGCAGAGCTGCGTACCAGGCTGCCGGCGTCCTCGTGCGACCGGACAGGGGGCGGCTTGGCCTCGGTAGGGCCCTCAGGGAAGAGCAGGTTGTGTCGCCTGCCCGTCCTTCGCTTCGGTTCTTGTAAATGCGTTGGCTGGTTTGGGCTGGAGTCGAAGCAGAGGCGGTTGTCTCGGAGATACCCACGTTCCCAGAGGGTGTACGAAAATAGGCACCCGGTGAGGCCTGCCCTGGGGAGAGCAGGAGGCGTTCTGGCGTCCGGGAGCGGCTGACGAGCGTAGGTCGGTCCATAGCTTGGGCCGCTGCAGCCCCTGCGCACATCCTCCCTCCACAGGGCGCGCTTCCTTTTGGTGGCTTAGAGGTGTTATATGGGGGTCGGAGCTACGCTAAGCTTATTTTCATAAAAGAAGAATTTGGGGGAAATGGGAAACAAGTCTGTAGGAAACCAAGGTCGTGGAGCTCCTTGTTTCTTAAAGCTTAAGTCGTGAATATATGATTGTACGAACATTTCAGCTTTCACTTAAAAATCACTAATTTTCCCCTGTGTGAACGTGGAGAAGACTATAAAAGGGCAAAGTCAAGGAGCTGAAAATAAAATTCTGTTTTAAAACATTTAAATCAGTCTTAAATATTTTGTGCTGTAGAACAAAGGGTTGACCTTTAATTATGTGAATGCTCGGGATTGACAATACTGCAATTGCTGCAATTTGTCCCTACCTGGAAGCATTCCCTAATCCTTTTGCAGCTCTTTCCCAAGTGAAACGGGAGGTTATGATCTCATAAAACAACCTGTGCTACAAGATCACACAATTCAGTGTAGGCTCAGGAGTCTTAGAAGGGCTATGTCTCTGTCTTTGGCCTTGAAAAAGTTACATGAGTAGTCCTTCCTGACCTGGAATTGATTGGATATGTTCTCACTATGTCACTTTTGGTAATTAAACTACTGTCTTAGAGGTAGGATTCATCTCTTTTCATGAAGAGACCAAAAAAGACTATACCCTTGTCTTTTGCAAGACCCTGGAGTTCTGACATAAATACAGCCATGGCAGAGGTGCTGCCTTTGCATGGTAAAAGGCTGTAGCCCACCCTGTCTGCCACATTGGAGAATGTGGTGATCGAAAAGAGTTTCCCAGCCTCATGCTGGAAAAGGTTGCGAGTCAATAATGATGGTTTATGCTGGTCTGGAACTTTTTGTGGGGCAGCGCACTCTGTTGTAACAGTTTTAGCCTTGCTAGCCCACTCTCTCATTTCCTCAACTTGTCTAGATTCTTGCTGACATCGCTGGCTGCTGTAGGCAGCCTTCAACCAAACACAGCTAGCAAGACAGTCGAATCTACCTGCAGTTATCCTCACATTCACTGACCTGAATGATTCTGTCATAAAAGTGTGTCTCAACCACAGTACTCTGCCAGGAACCTGTAATGTTCCTTGCCCAGCCCATGAAAGGGTCTTCGTTTGTTCTTTTGGATCTAGATCTAGAAAATTCCTTCATGATGTGGCAAAAATCCTTTTGTCTCTAGGTTCCTTCTATATTTTCTCTCTGCCTCATGAGGTATCCTATGGCATGTGGACATATGAGTATACAGTTACCTCACAGCTCAGGTGGGGCTGATCTTTTAGGGCAGGTGGGATTTGACTAGTAGAGCATCATGAGCTAAACTTCTGATCCAAAATTGATGCAGTTTAGTAAACATGATGTAGTACTCCAGTGTTTCCTTGAGGACTAGGCAGCACTAAGACACCAAAAATGAGTGAACTGGAGCTTACTTCTTGAAGAAGTGCAGCCTTGTGGGAAGGACCCACATTGGAGCAGTTTGTAAAGGACTGTATTCTGCGAGAGGGACTTCTCACTGGAGCAGAGGAACAGTGTGAGGAGAAAGGAGCGGCAAAGACAAAGTGTTATGAACTGACCCCAACCCCTATTCCCCATCCCCCTGTGGCGCTTGTGGAGGGGAGGAGGTAGCAGAAGAGTCAGGAACAAAAGAGTGGAGTTGAGTCTGGGAAGAAGAGGGTTTTGGAGAGAAGGTGGTTTTAGTTTTGGTTTTGTTTCTCACTATCCTATTTTAATAATCCACTATTTTTAATTCACAATAAATTAAATTAATCTTCCCCAAGCTGAGTCTGTTTTACCTGTGATGGTAACTGGTGAGTAGATCCCCCTGTCCTTATCTGGACCCATGAACTTTTTCATCTTATTTTCTCCCCCTGTCCAGCCGAGGGGGGGGGAGTGAGACAGCAGCTGGATGGGCACCCGGCAGCCAGCCAAGGTCAACCCGCCACATTCTCTTAATTATGAGGCCCATCTGGTGGGTGGTACTCTGATTACCTCACACCTTAGGAAGGATGCAATATGGAAGGAGGAAGCAGAGGAAATTATGTGTTTCTTGCACCTTTTTTCTCTTTTACAGTGTAGGTTCTAGAAGGGCAGGGACAAGTGTGCCTTCACAGCTTGGGCAGTCACACTTTTTGACATGTGCTGCAAATTTAATAAAGTCATTAATAGCTGAGGTACAGAAGTAATTGGATTTTCCATGACAACTCTCTTTCCTGAACATTCACTGCTACTCATATCCAGCTATTATAGTATTTTACCTGCTGGGTTCAGCATATTTGTATTAATTATACATTAGAGGGAGCTGCAATAATGTGATTTTTTTTTCAGTACAGAGCCACTTTCTGTAAGACTTTGTGTATATGTGGTTTCATTCCAAATGGATAAAAATCTTGTGCTAATTCAACAAGCAGATGTAAAGTGATTATTGCCCATAGTTACTGTTGAGCCATCCTCTCTATTGCAAGTGTAATTTTAGCTTTCTCTACTCCCTAACAGAAGTCTTTTTACTATTTCTATCCATCTGCCTGCTTTTTTTTTTAACTAAAGCAGATAAATTTTCAAACAAGCAGATTTAGAGATATTTCCCATGGAAATAGTAGTTGTTATCCTGAGAGTCCAAGTTTCTACCTATAAAAAATTCATCTGGGGGGATTCAGGTTCTAAGACTGAAAAATTTATTTTAAAATATTTTTTATGTGTAGCACATGCCTATGTTAAAAATGTTCAAAAGAAAGTATGTTGTTCATTTTGGGAGGATTTGAAACATAAACATAGCGTAAGAGAATGTGGAAACTTTTAAGGCAATTTTAATCAGTTCTGATCAACTCACACAATTCTTGAGAATTTTCGTAATGATTGACACTATGCTGCTTCAGACATTCTTCGTAAAGTTCTATGTGAATTTTTCTATTCTGGTGTCACTGTCCTCATCTGGACCTTCTCTATTTATGTTTTATTTCATACTGAAACAGTTTAAACCTTCGCAGGGGAAACTGAACAAAGTGGTCTGCAATGTGACTCACTGCTTTTGATTATTTCAGAGGCATGTCAAGTGAAGATTGCATTAAACCCGGATTGTCTCCTGTTTGCGGTTGGGAGGGTTACCCTGGCTGTTGATAGCAGGCCCTTGTGAGTAGTATAGATGAGACACTAGATCATTGCCACGTTAATATGAAATTAGGAGAGCAAAATAAAATGGCAAATTTGATCTTTCCCATTTCTTTCCTATAAAATTACTTAAATTAAGATTTCTGTTTAATAAGCCACAGCAAAGGTGAATTCTCTAAATGAGCTTGCACTGATGGAAAGCCAAACTATTTTGCTTTTATTTTGCTTGTAAGAGCTGAGGCACATGATTAAACGCATAATAAATGGTGTTATTTAGGGTGGCTTAGGATAACCTCATGGAGAAGGTGAAGCAATTTTTCATTAATATTCGTATTTCCTGAACTGGATGCATCACTTCTTAGGATTCCCTTTCAATTTTTCTTAGAAATCATCTGAAAGTGAGGGTTGTGATAGGTGCAAATGGCCTTCTTTCCCTTGGGAGAGTAATTTTCTTTTTGCTGAGTAATCTCTGTGCGTATTTTAAAGAATAGAATAGTTATGCCAAATAATACCACAGCCTGATTCAGTTACTTAGCAACATTTAATGCTAACAAAAAGAAAGGGGAAAGTGATGCAGCAGCAATAAAATCATTTGACAGCAGAAGGGAGTTCATGACAATAATGAAGACAGAAGTCATAGTATTTTACAGGTAGAACAAAACTGGAAAAGAACATGTAATCCTAGCAGCTGTCATTTTTCCAAGGAGTGAGTTGCTTGTAGTTTCATTTGTCAGAAAAGCTTCCAACCTGTAAAAAAAAAAAAGCAAAGCTTGGACCAAAGCCTATTGTCCTAAATATTACTTAATGTGTGATTTCCAGTCAATTACATGGATCTTCAGAAGTTTCTTCTGTAGTTGGCACAATTTTTTTTCCTAAATCTTTGTCATCAGTATGGCCAAAACAAGAGCTAATGCTGCTGCTTTTCCCTCATTACATTTATTACTCTCCCCAGATTATGAGAAGATAACGTTTAAGCATGTTAGGGTAACTGTAGATGCATAAGAGAGTGTCCCCCTTCCCAGAGGCTTGTCTGCTGGGGCTCAGG